TGATCTCAAAAATGGCTTTTTTTCACGTGGACGTCGAAAACGAAAGTCGGAAGTACACATCATTTGTTATCATGAAGGACGTACCAGTTTTGAAAGTGCTGTTTGGACTCTGTAACTCACCAGCTGTATTCCAGAGATTCATAATACCATTTTCCGACCGTTAGTTACGATGGCATCGTTTTGGCCGTACATGGACATCATCATTTTTTTTCCGCCTCATACAAGAGGGAATCGAGGCTGAGTCCATTTTTAAATCTAGTGAGTGAATATCGGTTGGAAATAAATTTTAAAAATCCCAATTCAAGAACGAATTGACTTTTATAGGCCATGTCATAGAGAGGGTAAATTTTCCCATCCACCTTGAAGACGCAAGCTGTTATAAATTTCCCTGAACCATCTAATTTAAAACAGATCCAAGTTTTTCTTGGGCTGACAGGATTTTCAAAATTTTTCCTAAATACTCTATATTGCCAAGCCAACTTAGCGACCTGCTAAAAAAGGGTAATAAGTTCAAATTCGGTGAAGAACAAAAGATCGCATTCAATCGTTTGAAATCACGCTAGCTGAGAAGCCTGTACTTGCAATTATAAACCCTATTGAAACCGAACTACACAGAGACGCCAGCATAGAGGATTGGGCGATTCTAATGCAGAAACCCCCAGGTGATAGCAGTTTTTACCCCACTTATTTTATGAGTAGGAAAACCTCTGATGCAGAGAAAAAGTACTCAAGTTATGAGTTGGAAGTCCTCGCGATCGTAGAAGCACTGAAAAAGTTCCTTGTTTACCTTTTGGGAATTTTATTTAAGATAGTGACGGACTGTTCAGCATTTCAACAGACGAAGGAAAAAAGAGATTTAGCGACACGTGTTGCTCGTTGGGTTCTGTTGTTACAGGAATTCGATTATGTTTTAGAGCATCGTAAATGTGTTAAAATGCCACATGTAGATGCTCTAAGTAGAGATTCTGTAAACGTCTTATGTATTTATGTTGAAAATATCTTACCTAAATTAAAACTTGCCCAAGAAAATGACACTGAAATAAAAACATTAAGCAATTATTGAAAACCTCAAGTTATGAAAATTATTGCAATAGAAATGGCGTACTATACAAGTTTATTGACGGTAAAGAATTGATAGTCGTACCTGGAAAGTACGCAGACTGAAATCATAAAAGATGCTCACGAGAAAGGGCACACCAGTATCAAACATACAGAGAACACCCGGATGAATACTATTTCATTCCCAAACTTCAGCAGAAGATAGAAAACATTATCGCCAATTGCTTTCATTGCATCTTAATAAATCGCAAAGCAGGGAAAAAGGAGGGATTTTTACATCCGCGATTCAAGGAGGACATTCAGTTGCATACCTATCATATAGATCATTTGGGTCCTCTGGAAAGTACCCATAAAAACTACAAGTACATATTAGTTAGTGGTCGACGCGTTTACTAAATTTACTTGGAATTTATCCAACAAAATCTACGACCTTCAGCCGAAGTGATAGCGAAGTTAGAGAATCAGAAGGCCATTTTTGGAAGCCCTTGTCAGATTATTTCTGATAGAGAAACGGCTTTCACATCCAGTGAGTTTTCTGACTTTCTGTGCTAAAGAAGATATTAAGCATCATCTAATCACCACAGGCCTGCCGAGAGCAAATGGACAAGTCGAACGAATCAATTAAGTTCATTATATCAGTCATAGCGAAATTTGTCCTTAAAAAAACCAAACCGAATGGTATAAACATACACACGAAGTTCAGAGGAAACGCTCAACTCAACATATCAAAGAAGCCATTAACACCACTCCGTTCGAATTACTCTTCGGTACTAAAATGAACAGTAAGGGGCACCGATCAGCTCAAAGAACTGATAGAAAGTGAGTTTCAATCTCAATTCGAGTCTCAAAGAGAAGAATTACGAAAGCAAGCCAAGAGGCAAATTTTCCAAGTTCAACAGGAAAATAAAAAGACATATAATGCCAAAAGAAGACAAGCACAGTCGTACAAAGTTGGTGACTTAGTGGCAATCAAAAGGACTCAATTCGGACCACACTTAAAATTAAGAGCGCAGTATTTCGGACCTTATAAGATCACGAAAGGGTGGCAACACCTATGACGTAATAAAGGAAGGGTACCGTGAGGGGCCCATATGCACCACCACATGTGCCGAATTCCTCAAGAAATGGACGGTGCTTTAAAATTTTTCAAGATTACTTATTTCTGTTATTGTATAACCTTGCTCGTTGCTTTTTTTTTTTTTTCATTATTATTATTATTTTGCAGTGTCCTGGAGGGCCAGTCCGTCCTCGGGTGGCCGAAAATGTAGTGCCGATCGCTTGGAGCTGTGATTGATGAAAACCAGATGCCGTGACGTCATTCTCTCTACAAGCTCCGAAGGCGCTAAGCAAAAATTAGGGGAATTACCATTTTGAGATGATAGACGATTGACATGGGAGCAGAGACGCTGCTTCTGTTCAAAAAGAACTTTGATGAATCATTACTTGTTTAATTCTCTTAAATGTTAAATTTATGTAATAATCGTTTGTGTAATTAAAATATCTTTCATTAATTAATTTGTTTATCGTTTAAAATCCTCACAAATATAATCTAATACACATGTAATTTATGATTTTGATTCTAAAGTGATATTACAATAATTACACTAAAAAGCTACAAAATATATATATTTCGCAGTAACAACTCACAACAAAATATTTTAATTTGAAAATTTTCCAGATATTTTAGCTAATTTATATTATTCTTCTCTTTAACATCTTTTTGAAGTTTATTTGTATCAATAAACAAATCAATGTTCCAACTAGTTTATGTTTCATTCCTAATTTGTTAATGCTTCAATAATATACCTTTGAAGAATAATTTTCTTTATGTCATTAAATTCTTTCTCAATAAGTTTCCTCTTTATGTTAAGATTACAGATTTAATTGACAATTTCTGCTCTTCTAAAGAACTGCATGTATTTAGAATGTATAGAAGAAACTGCTAATTTTATTTCTTTAATACAGAGGTCACTCTGAAATTTTTGAGACATGCACAAATGATAAGTGGCAGAAAAAATTAAAGATTAGACTTGAAAATATAAATTATATTAGCCTAGCAGATGATTTTCTTACTGTCCAGTTGCAAGCAATTTAGCATAGAATAAATTTTGGGTAGAATGAAAAATGGAATTGACAAGAGAACATTATCACACTACGATTTTAAAGTGGGATTAAATAAAGAAGAATGTGTTTAACATCTACAATTAGTATTTGGAAATGAAGTTCCATCTCGTGCTACTGTATTTAGACGGTTTCCAGAATTTCACAGAGGTAGCAACTCTCTTCAGGATGAGGAACACACAAGAAGGCCGTTCTCAGCAGTAATTCTGAATAATGTGTCCACTGCACCTACCAAATGACTTAGAAGGAGCTTAACATTAGATCCGTCACCATAAATAAAATCATTCATGAAGAAACTGCATATGAAAAAATGAGCTTGCCGTTGGGTTCCACACAATTCAACTAAACGATGGATATTTTAAATTCTCATTTTTCAGTTTCTTTATAAAAAGAAAAATTCCTTTCTACAGATGCCTGTCCATGTGACATGATTAGAACTACTTTGCAATTTTCCACCTTGTGTCTACAGAAAAGATGAGAAAAAGTGAAGATAAACATGTGAAGAGAAAGGCTTTTTACGATCAAAAGTAAAAAATTCAAATAACTTTATTTTCATTGTTCTTACAAAAATTCTCCAGAAAATAAGAAATTCATTAAAAATTTCCTATCATATGCATGTAAAAAATTCAAATAACTTTGTTTTAATTGTTCTTATAAAAATTTCCCCCCCCCCAAAAAAAAATGCCACAAAGACATTTTTCTATGAATCTTGCTTTCAAATCCTTCTACACCTTCCGAGGTGCCAGGTCTAAATATTATCCCACTCTGTAACAGCAAAAGGCTAGAAGGTTTTTGAATAAAATATTTAGAAAAGAAAACAGTAAAGTGAAATTTTAAGAGAAAACTGACACGCATTTGAATATTCTGAAACAACTACACGAGAAAAATAACTTTGAATAAAAAATATAAAAGAAAACAGGTGAAATTAAATTTTGAAATAATTAAGTAGCTTTTTGCTTAAGAAACTGTGTCTTATAGCATTTGTTATCTTATTTATTTTTCAAAATCAAAATATTTTTAAGATGCCAAAATAGAAAGTAATGTCATTTTAAAATCTAATATGGAAAAATAAATATGTTTCGCTTTAATGACATTTCTTAGTTACAGTTTTAATAATTATCATTATTTTAATGATAATTATCAATTTGATTACATTTGTAAAAAAAAAAAAATTGAAAAATTCAGAAATTTCCAGAAAAAAAAAATTCTAAACAAATTGATCTTGAAATCACCAAAATGATAAGTCGCTAAATTTAGCACTGCATAATAAAAGAAATCATATCTCAAAAAGGAAAAGTTAATATGATGTAATATTTTATGAACTCTATTCTCAAAAAAGAAATAATTTCAGTAAATGAATCACCAAAAAATATTCCTCAAAAATGGTAATTAACACTCAAAATGGCAGTTGTAAAAAACCGGCAGAAATGTCAAACAAGTAAATTTAAGGACCATCTGCCAATTTTGTTCGTAATTAAAACCTTTTAAGGACCAAAAATCCTACGGACCTTTAAGTTCTTTTAAGGGCCATATAAATCCTTTAACATTGTTATGTATTCTAATTGGATAATTTTTTTTTTTTTTTTTTTTTTTTTTTAGATAAATAATACTACGATCCATGAATATTTTTAGTTTGTTATGTTCTTACTTTTAACTGCATCTTTTTGAAATTAAATTATTCAAGTTATTTTTTCCCCTCTCAATTTTCAAACAATGAAATTAGTTGAAAAAAGGGGGTTACATGAGTACATGCAGTATATATATATATATATATATACAGTATGTGTTGAAAAAAACTAATTAATACTAAAAGCTATTACCTCTTTATGAATTCGATGACTTCTTGATTGCAGATGTTTTACCACATTGCTTTTTCCTTCACAATTATGGTTACAAAGATGACACTGAAACTTATAATTTCCCTAATAAAAAGAAGAAAAGAGCTTTAATTATACAGGATACATGACTTTCATTTGATGAATAAAAATATATTATTCTTAAGAAATTTATGAAGATTTGATGTCCCAAAAAACAGGGCAAAACATCAACCGAGTATTTGAAATATTGAGTAGTTTACTGGAAATGCTAAGGAAACAGGACTTATTCAACAGATATTAGCTTATATATATCTAAATGGTTAAAAAAATTATACAAACCTGTATAATAGAAAAAGAATATTCCTTCCCTTTTGAGGTCAAATTATTTCTTTTGACTTTGATATCTGATATCTGATTAGATGTCGTAGGAATACTTTTTTTGTCATTTGAATTAAAAACTAGAAATATACAAAAGAGCATTATATAACAGACAATTTTTAACATTTTTTAATAGCAAGTATATTTTTAAAAGTATAATCTATCATCTACTACTTGACAGTTTTTTTTTTTTCCTTCATATAAAATGGTACTTTTAAAGAAGCAATGGATGGAAGACTACGTTTCTGCTCTTTCCGAAGAAAATCATTCATATCTGGTTATTAAAAAACACTGTAAAGACGTGGTTTTTCAATATCTAAAGCTACAATAGGTAATTCTGAAAAAGACAAGAAAAGGGGGGGAAGTCAAAGTTTGTCTTCAAGTCGAAAAATTGTTCCAAATACATATCCAATGAAAAAGCAGAATGTTTCAAATGTTGCAAAGGTACGATTAGAGCTGTAGCTAAGATATTCAGCACCCGGAGAATGCTGAAGATTTCGCCCCTCCTCATATCTGCTAAGAATGAAAAAACATTTAATTTTAAAATTTTGTAACAGCAATTTGGCTCCTCATGGATGCTGCACCTGGGGCAGATGTCTCCCCTAGCTCTTCTTAGTTAGACCACTAGGTAAGATCTTTAATGATATGAAGAAAATCTGGCAGGTAAAAGGACAATTGCAAAATCATTAAAATGCTTAGTGTCAACTGTAAACAAAGTGATTAATGCTGATATGAATCTTAAAAAGACAAAAAAATATAATGTGCACCATCTTTCTCCATGACATATCACCAAATGCAGAACACACTGCAGAATTCTTTACGAGAAACATTTATCCTGACAAAAATGCAAAAATGTTGTCACAATAGCTGTATTTAAATGAGTGCAATCAAAGGAGATCCATTTATCATCAAAGAGGAGTAAAACCTCTTAAAACAAGGTTCAAAGAAACTAAACAAATATTTCAAAGCAATTTTGCTGGTTTTTCATGCAACCACAAATCAAAAATAAGGGGAGTGGACAGAAATGTTAAGATCAATTTCATGTATTATCAGGAACATATTCCATACCTAACTTTCAAATATGAAATACCTTCTCTTTACCCACAATGTCATTAATCAGTAAAACTGCATCAAGACAAAGCAAAAGACACACACACATCAAAATTCACTGCCAATTTCCTGGAAAAAATAGAACAGGAAATGGGTTTCAAGGCTATATCCTTACTAAATCTCCTGAAGTATCTATCGCCTGTGGATTTTTGTACTTTTCAACTTTTAAAAAGCGAATTGTCCAAACGCTGACCTGCAACCCTCCTTGAACTTCAAAAAACTGTTCAAGAGAAATGGGATAAAATAACTCTTCCAATACTACAAAAAGTTTTATTGTCTTGGAAATTATGGTGCAGAAAGATAGTGAGGAATAAGGGTTACCAAATAGAACATTCAAAACACCAAACTTTTATGTAAAATATTTCTTTAAATACAATGAAAATTGTCTAAAAAAGTGTACGAACAGCTTCTGTATCAGCCTGTGAGTTGGATGGTCTGGAGATCTTGTTAAGGGAAATTGACTCAAGTTCACATTACACATGGTGAAAACCATGAAAATGGTATGCAGCAAGCCTGTTTGCCAGTATTCAATCCCAGACTGAACTACGAATGTTCAGTGCTTGGCTGCTGATGGGTTACATAGGAATTCATCACTTGGCAACATAACTTTCCAATTTTTATCCCAAGAATCCAGTTAAGATTTAATGATATAATAAAAAATAGTACATCCCCAAGTTAATAAAAAAAAAATAAAAAAATAAATCTGAAATGTTTCAGATTTTAAATTACGTCCAAAGGGGCGTTTTTTAACATTTGTGTGTTACCTTTCTTTATTAAATATCATGTTCCTCGCACTTAAACCATAAGATCCAGTGCAACAGCAATATTGCAAAATAGTTTTAAAACGAGCATATCTTTAGAATTTCCGATACAGAGACTCACGTGCTGGAGATAAAAATGTTTTTTCTGCACAACGTTGCCATTGCTCGCTTTGAAATCCTTGAGTTTGTTAATAAAAAATTCGTCAAAGTTTTAAAAAATAGGAAATCGATCATAAAACAAATTTCAAATTTGGTCTTCCACATGCCTCATATTCGCAGTAGGATTACGCCATTCGAAATTCGATGACTCTCTATGTACCATTATTTTATCACAATGCGAGAAATATACATACATTTACGCAGATTTTCATTATTTAATTTCTTCAAATATAATGCAGGACTCTAACATTTTATGGCAACAGTTTGAAAAGTGAAACCGACCATTTATCAACGCAAAAATAATGAACCGACGCAAAATGCCAAAACGAAACTAATAGTCCTTCGGGATTCAAATCCCTTTGGACTAATAATAATTCTAAATATTAAAGCAAATCAATGCTTAGTTTATTAAATACTTGCAACAAATTATAAAACTGTTATTACTGTCAACTATAAACAAATTACACGTACATTTTATATTAAATGACTGGCTGGTTACTAGCATTTTAGGTTAACTATCCTGGAGCAAAGCCTTTACATGAACCTTTACAGCAAGATGACCAGATGTCCCGATTTTTAACAATTTGTCCCACGACGTTTTAAAGAAGTCCCGATTTTTGGATCCAAAATATATTCTTATGTCTATAAATACACTGTGTTCGTTGAAAAAGAATCTTCAAAAAAATTGGCTAGAGTTTGTACACAATCAAGCAGTTTTTTTTTTTTTTTTTTTGAAATGCAATAAAACTTATTGCAGTTGACAAAATGTTGGTAATCTAAGCTGCAAATGAAGTTAATAATTTAAAATTTCAGTGTCAAGAGCAGTTAGAAAATAATTTTCTTCTGTTAACTTTCTGTAATAGTATAAGCCAGCTAGAAGAACAAGGTGCAATAAATTGTGCAGATATCATGAATCATGCTAAAAAGTTCTATAGTAACTGCACATTTAGAAGAGTGGACGGTACATTACAATGACACTGAAACTCAGTGGGTTACATTAAAAGAACTTAATTGGAATGATGAGCAAAAACCATTCAATCATATTACTCAAAATTTCCCATATAGCAATATTTCAGAAAATGATCTTTTTAATGAGGTACCATTATTTAAAAAAATATATTGATAAGGAAAAGGGTAAATCTTGGGCATCAGCAATAATCACAATTGAGAACAAATGGTTAGAAATATTTCATCATTTTGAAACAAACTATGTTGCCTACAATAATGCACTAAAAATTGTGGAATATGCTCTGTCCTTACCAGGAGCTAATGCTGCAACTAAAGGCATTTTTTTCTACGGTAAATAAAGTGTGGACATCAGAAAAATCGCAATTAATTGTTGACACTTTGAAAGCCATTTTATATGTGAAATACAATTTAACAAATTCTTGTGAAAAGCTTTATGACCTTTTTAAACAATGACAATAATTTAATAAAAAAAAAAATCACTCAAATGAGAAATATGCCAAATAATAAAATAATACTATACATAATTTTTTAAAGTACAATATTTGTAAATTGCACTTATGCTGAAATTAAAACAATATATTGCAATACTATTTTTGCATTCTATGAAAATTTTAGTTGCTTCACGTAGACCAAATTTTTAATCAAGAAATTCCACCCCCAGTCAATGGTGTCCCGTTTTACCAATGTTAAAATATGGTCAGAGTCCAAGGATTAATAGCTTGTTTTAATGCATGAAGTAAAACTGCATAAACACTGCAACCCGTAAAACTGCATAAACACTGCAACCCAGGATATTCTGCCAAGTGTTAATAAACTGGAAAAAAACTACTACAGTCAAAAGTCTTTAATCTGGACTCGTCGAGACTTCGGTGATTCCAGATTATCGGTTTTTCCAGATTATAAATCATCAATTTAAATCTGGTAAGATGGCATGCAGAAATTATAAAATTAAAAATATAAAACCGTAATTTATGAAATAAAGAGCAATTATGATCTAAAGAGTATCAAAATTTACAAAAAAAAAAAAAAAAAACTTTAATATTTATTTGTTTACTTTATTAAACATTTCTTTCAATGTGCGCATGCGTAAAGCATACATTACGCATACTTGAAATTAGAAAATTGCAATTAGAAAACTATTTGATTGTATTTGTGATATTTATAATGATGAGGAATTTGATTTAAATCATATCAAAGACGGAGTACATCAAGATGAAATACAACATTTAGTAAGGAATTAAAAGACGAATAAAATAAAAACATCCCCTGAAGATATGGATACTGCTGACAGATCAAGTTCATTGCGCACCACGATGTTTCCGCCCCTCCCGCAGAGCAGCGTGAAATTGATAAACAGATTTCGGGAATGGTTAGAGAGACAAAGGATGTGCTTTTATCCATTTTTTGCAGCAATTTCACTTTTTGTTTTATGGACATCGAAACATGCTTTCGCTTTGTAGATCCTTTGGCAGCTCCAGAATAGGAAATTCTTTTTGACGTAATTGAAAGTTCAAGCTTACTTTTATAAAATTGCTCTAACAGTCTGCAAAAAATAATAAGCCGGATCCAATTAGAAAATTAAGGAACAACACAATCTACAACATTAACTGAAATAGATAATTTTAGCTTAGCTATACAACTATATACTATTTTAGCTTAGCTATACAATGTCCATTATACATTAAACACGCATACGTAAACATACTACGCGCATGCGTAAATGCATTATGCGTAGAAAGTTTGTAGCTTTGAGGTCCGGATTACAGATAATTCCGGATTATGGACGTCCGGATTAAAGACTTTTGACTGTACTGTTCCAATGAATCAGCAGTCTTCAGAAATAGTAAGCCTTTACATTAGTTAAAGAAATTTGTCAATGATAAATCAAATACAGAAAATATTTTTAAAAAATTTATAATGCTGGACCCTTATCTCTCATCCAATATACGTTTCCAAGATTTTTACTTTTGCTCAAAGAAGAACAATTTACAGGAACAATGAGTACTTACGGAAAATCCCGTCGACCACAAGAAACAGCGCCAGTCGTGCCAAAAAAAAAAAAAAAAAAAGCCATTTTACTA